AAAAAAAAGGGAAAAAAAAAGCACCTAGAAAAATGCCAAAAATTACAAAATGTCTCCCAAATGTACCTTCTTGCAGGAAAAAGAACAAACAAACAATTCATCCCCTCCCACCCCCCCAAAAAAATCCCACTAATACATCTAAATGAAGTGTGGTGAAATAAGAACCTTTATATAACTAATGCTTTAAGCTAATTGCCACAAGAGCGCTAATTTGTAAATAAAAAGGTCACTGTTCAGTAAGAGACATAACTTAATATAAACCCTCTTATGTCAATCTCCACCTCCACCATACCAAGGGCAGTTTTCCCCCGTACTTTAGCCCAAAGTAATCCATCAAGAGACACCACAAATGGCATTGTAAACTCTTTTAGCCACGACCAGACCATATAACAGCAATATTATGTGCTTCTTTATATTTTAGAGCTGCATTATATTTATAAAGACAGTCACAAATTTGGTCCTGGATCCGTTTATTACTCGGTAAAGAAAACCTACAAACAAAAAGGCAGAACCAAAAAACCAAGTCCATACCGAAAATATCCGAGTTCTACTCTTAAATTGAACTTAAATTGCTGTTAAAGCTTCGCGTGTATAAAATTTTAAAGAGGAAACAAAACTGACTTCACTAATTGTCGATATTAAGGAGACATCGCTGGGTGGGATACACATGAGATCAGAGCTAAGAAAAATACAAGGCTACGTTTTGCTCATCAACACAACAAAAACCCTCCATAGCACTAATACACGCCAAAAAACCGCAGCAACGAATATTTTTGGTTAAAATCACAAACTTACCTTCGGAGAAGGCAGTCCTTGCAAAACGGCTGTAACAATATGGACTGCATACCCGCTCTCCTACAGCCAGCCACCTCCATGCTGCAAAGGGCTCCCCGAACATCCTTAAAATATTTCGCAAATGCAAAAAAGTGAGACTTTTTTTTTTTTTTTCCTCCTTTTTTCCTTTTTTCTTAAATGATTCTGTTTAAAGTGTATGCTGCTTTGGCTGGTTTCGATTTCAGGTTTTGCATTTCAATACCAGATCTGTTTGAACATGAAAAGAATACAAAAGAACACAAATATTAACAAAGTTGGCTTATAAAGAGATTTTACCAAAGTCTGGGATGTGGATTGTCTTCTATGAATTGGGAAGATTCCTCAATGCCAACTTTTTCAATCAACGCTCGACTGTCTCGTAATGACCGAATCTCGAAGTTGATGATGTACTCTTTGTTAGGATGTTCAGGATCCTAACAGAATGGATAAAGAAACATAGTTTCATTCCATATGTAGTTTTATTCCATGTCATTTGTATTTTCACCCAACATAGATATCTACTGCTCAAATCATTAAGACAGACACCAACTTTTCCTACAAAACAAAATTAATTATACTTACCTTTAACACTTCATCCAGGAGAACAGATTTGATTTCTAAATCTTCAAAGTTGCAAATATATCCAGAAGTTTGTATAGGTTCCTTAAAGTTAAGTTACAAAGGAATGAACTTGTATTCTGTCTGATTAAATCCTAAACCAATATGTTAGGTATACATAAAGAGACTTTATTCTTCTCAAAACTAGGATTTAATTGCATTTCCAACAGGAAACACATACTAAAATCATTAACATTATTGACAGTTCCATATGCACAGACATAATTAAAAATCCTCATGTTTTCTATAACTAGATTATGAGAAAGAGATAAAGGAACACCTGTCAATATTTAGATTCAACTGAACTGTGTTTAACAAATATCTTTACTAAAATTGTGTTTATATTTTCTAAGGCATATACAAAATACGCTCCTGAAATGCCTCATACGTTTAAGAAAAATATGACAGTATTTTATCTTTTCAGGACTGATAGTTCATTTTACTTATTTGTTCCTAAACAACACTCCCACATTAGAGTTGACAAGATTTTGAGATTTCCAGAAGCAAGTTTATTTATATAAACACTTGCCTAATTGAATGGTAAGCAAAAGAACAATACTATTCAACACAGAGCCATTAACTTATGATGAAACCTGTAAAATTAGTAGTTTTCATATATTTATATTTACCTCCGGATCCAGGTTTCTGAAAACATACATTCTTGTTTTCTCCATCATTGCAAACAAATCTGGGTTATCTTTTGCCCACTTCATATCCCAGACATCTCTGCGTTCCAGTTTCAGCTGCTCACCTATCACTTGCTGTCCTGTACTGTCTACTACCCGTGTATCCAAGTCAAAGAAAGTCAAAACACCTGAAAGGTCTATGATAGCAATACGACTACAGAAAAACAAAGGAAGAAAAAATAAGACAGCTAAATAATACGATTCAAGGTTGTACATCTGACATAGTTCCCTAAACTGGCACACTCAGGCCAAATTGCCTCTCTAATCTAATACCAGTATAATTCCATAGATTCAGTGAGATGCATGTGTTTTTCTTTTATCTGCACAGCAGAGAGAGACCAGAGACATGGAAATAGGTTTTTCATCTACTCATACAGGATCTGGCCCTGCAAAGGTTCTGAAATATACCCATTTTTCACCCAGCATTTTAAGGATTCTTAGTACTTCAGATATCAAGTTGAGTCAATTGCAGATTTTGCCCCTCACCAAACTTGTCTTGACAGAGCCTAAAATTAAACTGTTCTTTTTTAAAACAGTTTTTCACTATTTACTAGGAGGCAATTAAGTAGATTCTTAAATTAAAAAGACAGGACAGTGATACAGACTGTTAATCTCTAAAAAAGGATTTATTATATTTCTACAAAGGTTATTCATTAGGTTTTTTCCAGACAATATGAAGTATAATCCAATTAATCTTTGAAGTCATTTAAAATAGGTGAAAAATACAATTTCTAAAGGGTTACATTTGAAAATTTCCAGTTACATAGGTCTTCTGTGAATCATAGCCTGTATTTACTACAATGCCATTCTAAAAGCACTTCTAAATATTGAAAGGTATTTAGACACCCTTAATCTATATTAAAATTTCAAAAGCAATTTAGAAAATTAACTACACAATGCTTATGGATCTGAGCCCTCTTCACTAGCACAAAGTCATTTAGGAAGGCAACAGCTTGGGTTCAAAACAAAATTAATGAGGCTCTGACTACATCACATTGCCTTTTAAGTGAAGCAATCTATTTTTGGTCTATACCTAAAAAGGTGAATTATCTACATGTGTATTATGAATTTTGTTTCAAATTACAAAGTTATTTTGAAGTTATTAAAATTGTTTTACAAATCCTCTTCAGTCAGTATTTTTTGCCTTTTCTGCCAAGACTCTCAGGCTCTCTCTTGCAAAAAAATAGCCGTTAAGTAGAAAGCAACTTCAGCATTGGCACAGCTGAACCTTAGGAAAACCAGTCTTGCTAGAAGCATTGCCACCAACTACAGCTTGTAACAATGGAAAATTAATGTGGGATGAACAAAGTTTCCAGGCATTAGAAGGACACAGAAATAGAAAGAAGCCTTAGAGATGTAAAATTTCAGGTTGTGACATAATTTCATCAATTCATGTCACGATCACAGGTTTATCTAATAAAACAAAGATATTTTCATGTCTATGTTTCCTTAAACTTCTCACACACACCCTAAAGAGTTTGAAACATAAGAGAGCTTTACTAACACAGTCTCAGAGAGCAATCTGATGACTGGCCAGATATAATTAACTAGTAATAAATAAATGGTTAAGCAACCATTAAGAAGAACTAAAATTAATAGTTTATATTAAAGTAAAATTAGTACATTATTATTACAGAATCATAGACTTCACAAAATTAGTATTTTCACAAATTGTAGTGGTTTATTTTAAAATGGGATACCTGCATTAGAAGCAGACCTGTAACGTACCTGGAGTTGCAGTTCAAAGACAGCTGATGTGCACGACAGTTCAGGGTATACTTCTGTACCATACCAACGCTAGGAAGACTGTATCTCTGAATAGTGCCAGATTCTCTTCCCTAGAGAAAAGCAATGCTTGCTTATTGAGAGAATTTTTCCATCAATAAACTCTTTAAAAAGGTTTTATTTATATGCTGTCCTAGATAAAAGATATTTTGGATAAATGACAGAGCAGAAGTGGAAAGAGGGAATGTAATCACCCTGAAGTTCCAAATTCTGCTATTTAAACAAGATGCTTTAAGATGCTACAATTCACATAGCTGCTTAAATTGTGGATGTTAAAAGGAATATAGTCCACATATAGCCCACAGGACAGTTTCAGGAGCCCAGCAGTTCCGCTGTGAACCTTCAGACACGATGTACACAAAAAAAAAAAAAAAAAAAAGAAAAGGAGAAGAGTGAAAAGATCCCTGTCCCAGACTGGTAAATCCACTGAAGCAGCACCATATGACAGTACCAGCTTGGGTCTGAAAGCAGTACATGTGTGTTCATGTAGTGCTGTCTGCACACTAATGAGTCTCACCAACTACTTCAAGATCCAAAATACCTGTAAAAGTAAATGCTGTAAAATATACTGGTTATTCAAAGGCATGAGTAACAGTAAAGAAACCTAAGTACCAATGTGGTTTATCTTTATTTTGCCAAACAACACACTCATACCCTGTGTCAAGATGCTATTAGGCCAATGAAATAATGAAAAAAAAAAATTAGTTTGACATCCCTGGACTGAAATGATCACCACCACTGTTTTCTCACGGTGTTTCTGCAGACTGAACAGCATATCCAGCTTATTTTACCTACTGTTTAACCCTTATGCTGGAAATGAGTCGATATTAAACTTTTGAGGAGTCCAAACTTTATTCCTTTTTGTCCCCCAAAAACCACCCCTAAGATCCTCAGCATAAATCACCTTTCATCTTTGACTTTTTCACATCTGTGTACCCTACAAACTGAAAAGCAGACTTACTCAGAAGTGTTAGAAAATCTAGCCACTGTAGTTTGCATACAGCTTCAGAACATTTATCCAGATCTAGTCTCAAAAGGCCTTTCCTCTCGTTCCCTTCCTTTTAACCAAAGTCACTAATTCACTGTCCTCTTAATTTCATTTTCTCACTCTTATTCTTCAAGCACAAACAGAATCCCATAGTCACCTACTAACCATTGCACTTTTTTCATTCATGTTTTTTGCCATTTCCGACTGATTTTGTAAAATCCAGTCAAAGGATACAACAAAAAACAAAATCACTACAGTAGGGACATAGGAAAACATCAAGATCTTTCTTGGGAAGCTGGATAAAATGAAGAAACAGTGTTCTTTTTCTATCTTTGTTCTGCTTGGTTAGTTTGTTTTAAAGCCCATTGTATGTCTGCACATATAATTAGACCACTTTCAGATCAGAAAAAAAACACATCAGCTGTCTGGCATGATACAATACCTCATACATAATACATATGTATAATCAGTAAGTGTATTAAATTGTACATAGCATACTACATACATGTAATATTGTCTATCATCATACATTATACCATTAATATGTAAATAGAAAAACTTTGTAAATCTTTATTCATTTATATACAGCCTAAAAGAGACTTTCCAGAACTCAGATCCTGACCTGGACTTTATCAAACCCTGCATATACGTACTAACTTGGGCAACTAGTCTGTAAATTGTAAGCCCTTAGTGAATTAGCCCTCCTAAAGAAAGAGTCCAGGTTAACGGAAGAACCTGTTGAAGTTATCTTTGAGGACGTCTAGAAAGAGATTTAATCTATGTAAATTCTAAATTCAGAAATGCTTTCAAATTATGACTGCTTATCGACACATTGCAGAAGAGTCTCCTGCCTACAAGAAACAATTAGGACTTATTTTAATTATGTAACTTACCACAAGTAGTATCTTATCAGATGCTGTTATTGCACAAATTGGATCTCTTGTTCCCTTAAAGCATACAAGCAATATCAAGATCAGTTTTAATGCAACAGTAAGAATGCACTGGTAAAGTAAGAAGTCTTATTTAAATATACAAGAATGTTGCTAAGTATCCACACGAAAAGGGGCTATCAAACCTTGTCAGTATACAGTAAATGGATGGTTTATAGTATTAGTAGCCTTTATTATGGGAATCACATCAATAATAATATTAACAGCTTCCTTTCTTCTCCTGCCCCTCCTCCAGAAAAATAAGAAACCCAAAATGTAACAGGTGATTAACAGAAAATACAAGAAGGCAACTGTCCCTGACTTGTGAGGCCTGTAATTAATTTCAGCTATACTGGTAAGTACGAAAGTGAGCACATGTGTGCACACACATAAGTACTATAAGGCCATAAGTACTAGAAAAGACTATAAGGGTCACTGAGCTTCAACAAGCTTATACTTTGTTGAATTAAGGGGAGCTGCTTCTCACCAAGAAGACAGCAGGTGTCTACATACTGGACCCCAGAATATATTTTTCCTACATTCCCTACAGTCTGGTGTATATTTCCAGTAATACATAATGGCATAACAATGCACTAACCTGAGGGAAGAAAAACAACACTTATGTACAAAGGCAGAAGTAAAAGAAATTTTAAGTATGACCACTTCTGCTAATGAAAATATAAGAAAATAAATCATAGACTCACAGAATGATTTAGGTTGGAAGGGACCTCCAACCCCCCTGCCATGGGCAGGGACACCTTCCACTAGACCAGGTTGCTCAAAGCCTCATCCAGCCTGGCCTTGAACACCTCCAGGGATGGGGCATCCACAGCTTCTCTGGCACACTGCTGGATCACATTAAGGTTCCTATCAACCAACACCCCCCCCAGTCCTTCTCCTCAGGGCTGCTCTAAATCCATTCCTTGCCCAGCCTGTATTTGTGCTTGGGATTGCCTCGACCCACATGCAGGACCTTGCACTTGGCCTTGTTGAACTTCATGAGGTTTGCCCAGGCCCACCTCTCAAGCCCTTCAAGGTCCCTCTGGATGGCATCCCTTCCCTCAAGCAATGCTCACTACTTCTCTTTCAAGGTACCAGTGACACCACAATAAACTAGTTAAAAAAAAAAAAAAAAAAAAATCACTCACTTCAGTAGCTCTGCTGTAATCAAGGTGTCCATCTGCAGATCCTGAAGGGGTGTCATCAATATGATAAATCCTGCAGAAAAGGAACGTTAGAAGAAAAAGTGAGTCCAAAGAAAGGATTATTTCTGATAGCATAAAGGTTTCTTCAGTCCTTGCAGAAGAAACCATTGCAATTGGAAAAGATAATAGAAGCTATGCCTGTCCTTATGTTCTAGTAGTATCCACTTTGGTAACTGCTTTGTATTAATATAAAGATATGGTAGTTGCTTTCACTTTCACAGCCCCTGATGGTCTATTCCCCATGATCTAAAAACTTCAATTCTGTGACAAGAAGGTCCTTCAAACCATCAACCACCTCAATTGTCTCTTTTCAAACATGTACTTCCATATTTCTGCAGACTCTTCTCCACACTTACGAAGAGCTTCACCTTCATATCCACAAAACATATGTATTATTGTATTCAATACTTAACCATAAATTCTCTTTTGCCTTGAAAGGTAGTGTTATGAAAGATTTTAGAATGCTAAAATAACAGTTTATGCCAAGTCACAACTATTTACTTTTCCAGTATTTCTACCAAATCTACAGCCATGTCCAAGGCTAGGACATTCAGGTACTAGAACAATGTAAGTTATTACACCATGTACAAATAACTACTCATTATTATGAACATATGATGACAGAAGTTGATAGATTTATAGAAAGAAGCTATAGCATCTCTATGGGAAAAAAAAGACATAAAATAACACCAAAAAAAATCACAACAAATTTTCAAGCTTGTGGAGGTGACAGAAAAGTCAATGCCACTAATAAGCACCTGGGAAGGAAATGCTTTGGAGGCAAGATAATGTTGACTTTGGCTTGTTTAGTTTGAGAGTATAAAAGTCCATACAGCATTAGACATTCAAGACACAATCAAACACAACTGTATTCAGAGAAAAACTAGCTGGATAGACTATGTCCTTACAGCCACTGACACACAAGAAGCAGTTGAATTTATCAGAAGCAACACAGCTGCCTAGAAACTAAGAGTATGTAAGAGAAAAAGGGGAGGGGGAAAAAAGCATCAAGACACACAGCTCTATAATGGAAGCATGCAGCAAGAAAATGGAGACACTGAGCAGGAACTAATCCAGAAAAGTCTAAGAGATCTGGACAGCAAACACACATTTGTTATGAAAAACTAGTACTTAATCTTACAGGCCTGCAAGTCAACAAATCTGAGTAGAAAAATGAGAAGGCAGGGGTTCATATTTTAGGCATGAGAGAATCCACCTTTATCAACAATATAGGAAGAAAAATGACAAAGCCTAAGACAAACCTTTCCCTGCCTTCTTTTCTGGTCCGTGCTACCTGATTAATTTCCATTGCTGTGAGCTTCTTGGCCACACGATACTGCCAAACATAAAATGCTTCTTTTGAAGCTGCTATCACATGCGTTTTGGTCATTGTGACAAACAACGGCCCTGTTAGAAACCAGAATGGTTGTCAACTTAGAGCGGCAAGTATTGGACTAGATGCTAATTTGTAAACTTTTTCCCAAATGGATGAAATCATATCTCCATAGTTCAAAAGCAAACAAACAAACAAACAAAAAAAATCCCCCAAAAAACCCAAAACAACAACAAAACCAACCGTAACCAAAAAGCACCACACAAAACCTGGCAGCAGTTTTCACTAATTGCTGAGAAAGTTCACTGGCGCCTTGTGGTCTTGTTCAGAAGAGCAGATAAATTCTTTGCAAGTTCTGATTTTAAAATTAACATTCTCCCTACTATTTCAGCAAATTAGCATGTGCTAATGCATTAAAGACATCAAATACATACAGAAAAATTTTCAGGTTAACAACCAGTTCAGGAATATATCAACTCTCCGAGAAGATCTATAAAATACCTCCATATCTGACGTATTTGTAATGATTAAAATATAAATAAAGGAAGACTACTCAAAAGTTGACAGTCTACTAGAGATTCTTTGATTAGCACAATCAAACCAGTTACCAAATTTTGAGTTAGACAAAACCTAGAAATGTTGTTTATATCTTAGTTAATAGCTGGGCCAAATAACAATTCTTTATCTCCATGGCAGTAAATTAAATATTTAGCAAAGTGTGTGCTTATTCTTACTTTAATGCATCCAAAGATCACAGCGTAGGACAGCAGGGCATTTTCTTTACTTTAGCCCTAGGCCCATTTAGAATATGTGGATA